CACACACACACACACACACACACACACACACACACACACACACACACGCAAACGCAAACGCAAACGCATGCAAGCATGCATGCATACATGCATACACAAAAATTTGTGTATGTGTATATATACGTATATATTTTGGAAATAATTAAAGCAAATTTGCACGTCACAAACAATAATAAGACTTACTAACCGTACTACTGCATCTCCTGTATACATAAACAATTACAATTGATAAAAGATCAACAAAAACAAGCGCAACGATAAAATGTCTCTCTTGTCTCTACGTAAGTTATATGTATTTAATATATGCTGTTAAATATTAACAGTCGGATAAAATTGTGCTAACAGCGACGTACTAATAGAAAGCTACCCGGTTTAACCCATTTTACATCAGCATCCGTTTCATCGGCATTGCAATCATCATCGTTATTATCACCCCTTTCGAATCAACGACGACGATGACGACAACATTGTTAAAAGTGTTATAAACAAATAACAATCTAAGGTTACTTGTATGTTAGTGTTGTGAATATATATGTGTATGGGTGGATGGATTTTGTATGAGTGTAAATGTAAACATTACTAAAAATATTCGACAGCACAGCTACATATAGGCACATATATATATATATTTTATTCGTACATAGAACGAACCGAATAATAATAATGCCTACAGTCATTTGTTATTGTGGTTGTTGTTATGGCCATCCTGTGGATGCTGGAGTTTGCGCTAAATTGTTTTACATAAATTGAGAGACAGCTAAGCGGAAATAAGGAATAGAAAATGAAACGAAAACGCAAAATAGAAGCGTAAGAAGATGATAAAAAATAAAAATATAAGTATTTTGTGTTCTATGATATTAATTTTATATCGTTATAGACGTTATTATTTTATCTACCGTTTATTTAATTTTTTTCTTTTTATAAACATACATAAATAAAAGGTAAGACCAGCGTTGAGAGAAATTAAAAAGAATTATTTCAACCAAAGAGAACATATAAATGCGTCTTTTCGTTCTTTCTCTTTGCTCAGTTCAATCTCACTTAGCTCTAGGAATTTCACATGTGGGCACACTCATCCCTCACTTTGCACGTTACTCGTTCCACACTTTTCCATTTTACACGGCTACTTAAATTGAACACTTCCGAAAAAAGACATAAACACAAAAAACCTGAAAAAATTCACATACACTTCTATTTGCTTGACTTCAATTCATTACTTTCGATAGGTTAAATGGTACATATCTCTGCGCGTTAGACTGCCGCATACTCGATTAGATAAGAATCTTGGCTAGCAAGTCAATGTTCTCGTGTTTGTGCGGTAAAACGCGCTTAGTCGTAGCTGCAGACTGAGTGCTCAGTCGGTGAAAGCGTAATACCCACTGATTCGGGACACATACACTACACTGAGAAAACTTTGAATCTTATTCTCTTTCCCCACGTCTTTCTGATCTTCACTGGGTTAAGCGTATAGGCGACAACCCCAAAATGGTTGGTCGTATTAGAAAAAATTATATAAATATAAGTTCCACCTTGTTCGACAGGGTCTTGTGAAATTCACAATTTTTGAATATCAATTCTAAATGTCATCGAACTAAGTCCAATACTTCAGCGAAATCGAAGCAGTGTCTAAAGAGAAAGTCACTCAAGTCCGCAAAAGAAGTCTTACCGGTAAATCCAAATTGAAAACTACTAGTTTTATATGTTATTAAACGAGTAAATTGTATTTCGTAGTCACAAATAGCTAAAGAAGAGACTGTTTCCAACTTACACTGTTTCAAAATGCCCGTGTTTTCCAATTTATGTGAATGTGGAATGAACGTGCTTGGTGTGTAAAGTGGGAGATTTTTGTATTTACTTTTCGAATTAAAAGTGACTAAATCTAATTTTGCCTAATAATACCAACCAAAAATTTTTGGTGATAATACCGGTTTACATAGTAAACTTAATGTTTGGTGAAAATGCTAAACTTGATTTTTTTTAGCAACGCTGGTATTCATAAAAAACTTGTATTCTAATTCACTACCATATATGAGAAATTGAACTACCTTCGATTCTCTTATATTTGGAGCAGTCCGAACCAGTCGTCCATATACCAGAAAACGATATCAATAGTAGAAAAGTCGTTAAAGCAATAGATTTTTGAGAAAAAGCGGCTTGGACGCAAGAACTTAATGTGTCTCCTCTGTCTCTTGTTCAAAGTCTTCTAACTTCCTCCATTACTCTATGAACGGATTTCAAGTAGGTATTGATGATAAACGAATTTGAGATGATATCCAATCTTCGTTTAACAGCCTCGTGCAAAAAAGCAATGACTCCTTGAATGAAATGCTACGAAATTAACATATTGTTTTTCCTTTGGTGTATCTACCCCGTTTTTAAGAATAGTTTGGCCGTCACTGCTTGCAACTAATACAACAATGGAGAAATTACTTGGGTACACAAACTCGCGCGCATCGTCCAAAGAGAAGTACAAAGCATCACAACATCGAAGATGAGTAACGGCATAACAACGACAACAATCACACTGCCGCTGGAACAATTCTGATGACAGTCGAACACAAAGGAGCCTGATTGACGCACCTAAACGAAACGCCAGCGAGTGATAAAATCACAAAAAGGAATTTTTTTTCCCCAGAGAGAAAGGAGGAAAACAGCTTCATTGAAATCGGTAAATCGGAAATAAAATGAATGCAAATAATAACATAAAACAAGTCAAAATAGATGATTTTTTTCTTTATTTTTTTAAATAAAATTTAAATCGCACTAAAATAAAGATCGCGGTACGAAGAATTTCAAGTGAAAAGTGAAGAAACAGAAGAACCAAGCAATCAACCCGGAAACGGATAATTCAAATCTAACCAAGGCATTCAGTAGATAAAAATATTGTGCACGTTAGACAAATAAAGAAAAGAAAAACAAAAAAAAAAAACGAAAAGAAAATCAATTGAAAAATATTTCTAAAGAGTGCAAAACCAATAAAGAGATGAAATAAAAAAGAAAATAAGAATAAATATATAAAGAAGAAAATTGTTGCTTACCAGTGAGACACAAAGTCAATAAAAAGAGAAAACATTAGAAATATATGAAAAGTAAAAAAAATTGAAGATCTACGACGTTAAAGACAACAGCAGCAGCAACAGCAGCAGCAGGGACGCACGTAAGAACAAGCCTGCGTCCACAAGTACATATATACCATGATAAATAAAATAAGTGTTGTGTTATTATTGTGAGCTATAAAAAGGATAGCACAATAAGCTCACACATACATACCGAAATAACAAACAAACAAACAAACGTGTAAACATAAAGAAAAACCATTAACTAAAAGTAAATTACAAACAAACTTTCAAACATTAATATTTACATAAAAGTGTAACAACCATATAAGCGTGTATTCACACGTGCATACATCTATAGACGTTCTAATAGAAAAATACGACGAGTGAATGCAAAGTACAGATAACAGCACCTCACATATATGCACAAAAAGATCTCTTATGAAAGAAAACTAATTTAAATTACCCAGTGATAGAGAAGAAAAAAAATACTAGTAGAAGAATCGAGTGAGAACCAAAGAAAATAAGTTAGATTTTTTGTACGGTGCATACGCACGCACATAAGCTTAAATTATATATCGCAACGATAGCGACAGCAACCCACTCATTCTTTTGGGAAATAAATAGTAAACAGCAAGCACAACAACAACAGAAATAAAAAAGACAAACCACAACCGCAGCTGAAAACGATTTAGGATAGGAAAATAGAAAGAGGTAAGCTAACAATTCTGGCATAAAAATAAGACGAAGAAAACCCCAATTAAAATTATACGGAGTAGAAATAAAAATAATACGGAATAAAAAAAAAAAATCTAATTGAAATTGCAATTAGGTTTATTCGATATACATGGAGTATATTTTTGACAAATTTGCTTACAATGAATAACGTCAAGAAGTGACACAAAGAAAAGCAAACTATAAAGTCTGTACCGATAATTTCGATTCGCTCTCCTTGACTTCTGATACCTTGTGGTAACAGGGACCTTTTAAAATTCAAAATGAAATTTCAATTATTGCTTCTGTGGAGGCTATTAAAGATGTAAGCTGCTAATAGAACGACCACTGTCAAATTTCTGTTGCAAAGCATGTAAATCGGTATAGACCGCGATTCGCTAACCATATGTCTAGATGAGCTCGAAGTAAGTAGAGTTTGACAGAAGTTGATTAACTAACACACAGCCTCAAAATTCTTACTAAAAAAGTTTTATCACAAGCAGTACTATGCCCAACGAAAAGGATAATTTTGAAAAAAAAATACAAAATATTTAGGTTGAATATACAATTCCTTGTATTCTTTGATAAACTTGGACTTTAATGGGAAATTATTAATAATCGAAGTATTCACCACCACAATCCACAGTCATTCATTTCTTATTGGGCGGCCTGGGTATGGTGCCATAAAAAAAACTTGACGACTTTAAGGCGATCGATCCCTTTTTGCCCATCTTCAACTCTTATGAGCTGATGATATGTTATACATGACTACAAGGACAATTAATCCTGCAATCAGGAAAGTTGGAAATCATTTTCTGGGCCGCTTTTGCTGGGGACGGACGGACGTATGCAAGCATTTCCGGTCTTTAACATTACAATCTTTTAATTTCTTTCAGTTTCTGAAAAATTGCGCAAACTTAGTTTTCTGATATAGTCTGCACAGAAGACAGGGAACTCCTTTTAAAGGCGTCTACTGATTGCAAACGAGCACAATGAAGCCGTTGCATTAGTGATGAAAACAAAAAATAGTTGCTTAGAACACGTTGTCTGCGAGACGCCATTATTTTGTTTTTTCAAAAATTGGCCAATAATTATAGCAGTATGCGAAGAGGGATCGCCATAATGCACCGATCGGCATATGTTTCCCAATGAATCTGGACGTCTTCACGACTGAACTCCCTCAAGTAAAGCTAAAGGTTTGCATAATATCTCCTACTAGCACCCATTTCTGTCTCTCTTATGTTTAATCGAAATAATTTACGTTCAATTAGTGGTCCAACTCGTTCGCAACCATTTTTCGTCTTTGCACCACTTCCAAACCTTTGATTGTGCCGTCGTGTTTGGTCGTCGTGACAAATCCTCAAAATTTTTGATGCACCTACACAAAAGATATTTTCTTTCAAGTAGAATTTAAAGTAAATTCTTTGTTGATCATAAAAAAAAAAATGGATTACAAAAGATAAACCAATTTGTGCCCTAAAAAACAAATGATATTTATACGATTCTTACAAGGAAAAGTTCACATTGCTATATGACGAGCCCCTACTTTTTAGATAAAGTGCCTCTTATTCTTTAAAAATAAATTCTTTGAATATATTCTTTCAAATAAAATTCCTCTTTAACTTGAAAACATCCTTTTCTAAACGCATTTAAATGTTTTCAATGCAACTTAACAATTAATGTCTTGTTACAGAAGTGGAAATTGCATTCTTCATTAACCTATTTTGATCGTCTGGATGAATTGTTTTGAATTTATCTAAAGATTGAGATGCGGTTAAAGAGTTAATTAAAGTTTCACACAAAGATAACTGACCATCTGCATCATCAATGTGTAGGCAGCAAAATATTTTATATTTGCGTTAAAAAGTAGATAAGGATTTTTTTAAATTAAATCCTGAAAGTATGCTGCAACATTTATGGTAAACTCTATTTATAAAAACTAAACAAAAAATTTGTAGGGGCACTTAAGAACAAGCAAAAAATGCTTTCATTTGCATAAGGTAATCAGTATCTTACAACAAAAATTTCACTTATAAAAGAAGAATTCAAAGCAGGTTTAGATAAACCAACGAACAGGCTGATGGCTAACACAATAGCTAAATCAGTATGCCCACGTGGTATAAAAACGTGATAGGTAGAAGAATTATTTTTATACATTTTTATATATAAAAAAAGGCACTAGCAAAAATAATATATTCATCAGCAATCCCCGAGACTAAGTAAGAAAAAATTGTTTTCTTTTTTTTTTTTGCAAAATTTGTCTTCATTCACTACGCAGTCTCCTTTCGCCTATATTTCGAACACTTTTTTGTAAAACTATTTCGGACAATCGTGGGTTAATGCAATAAAATTCTCGTAATTCTGCGATTGTAGTCATCGACTTGTGCCGCTCAACGTGGAAGCAGTATAAATTTAGAAAACGGCTTACTAAACTGACCTACAAAAATTTTCAGCCAAAATAGTAAATGTATCGCTTCCTGGTGTCATGAGGATGTCAGCTATCTCCTAAAACTCCACGACCTCTTTTAAAATTACCAAAACGTCGACAAAGTCTTATTTTTATCGCGAAACGTGGTCTTTCAACCCATTGCTGGAATTGAATAGCAGTTTTTCCCGCCGAAACGCCCTATTTAACCAATATACAAAATTCGGATTTTTTCATTGTCTTAAGTGTTAAGAAAAGTAGCGTCACTATAATTCGTGAACCAAATATAGATTGCTTGTTAGAAAATATGGATCAGTCCCGGAAATTATTAAACCATGTATTATCTATTGCAAATTGCACACATATGTGCATAACATACAGTAGCTTATTTAAAATTTCCCCAGCTAATGAAGGTGTTACTATCCTACCTGTTTCTTGTGTCCAATTTGATTAGGCTTACATTCGAATTTTGAATGACTCTCGCGCACACCTCTGTTTTACAAACAGCTGAAGTTGCACAGGCAATTCTTGCGAACTATTCTCCCTTTAAAAATGAAAACGGTATCCTGCTGTTATTATATTCGCCCAACATGTTCCCGACGCATCATATAGTATAGTTGATGAACTCGTTCAACAAAACAACAAAAACAATGATAACAGCACTTGAAAATTTCACAATATTAACAAAAAAATTCGGTTAAACTAACCGGAATATATAATCAAGATTTGTGGCTTACATGTGGGTCGCAACTGCAATCCACAACGCTGTAATTGACACTCGAAACCCTACATACAGAAGACTTCAAGTGTCACTCAATTGCAACAGGTACCATTCGTACGAACCTGTGTGCGTAGATTTTATCTTCAAAAAACATACGCTTTTGAAAGTTATTTGCCTTACGCCTGTTATCATATTGCATTGTGCATCTACTCCTAGGAATTAACTAAAAGCACGAATGATTATAAAAACTCTACACTTCAGAGATTTTTCCCTTTCTCTATCATCGAAAGTATCCCGTGTGACTTAGATTGTCATGTAATTATTTTTCCTCACAATGGAACCGCCACCTTCGATCTCTTATCTAAATGTTTTTCTTTTGCTTTCTTTTTATATGATGATATTTTCTTACTCAATCGCATCAACAAAAGAACAAACACCCTGTCATACACACACAAACACACATATCACCAGCATCCCTTAATATATGTTATGCTCTGTATTTTCCATTTAAGACATATGTGGTCCGGTAGCACAAAGACGACAATGCAATGAAATTGATGGTGCAATTACCAAAGAGCACGAAGTCTTACTAACACTTTTGTCTTCCTATCGTTTATACTACACACTCTGGTCATATTCCTTGCTTGATATTCTGTTAATTCTTGTCTGTACGAACAGTATGATACATTCAAGTACGCTACATATTTTATGGAAATTTGATTAGTTAACTATGGTCAATGAATTTATTATTAGTTATCTTACTACTTGTGTCGATTGGGTATTGGAATATATTTGGGCCGGCGTGAAAATACATACAAAATGTAATAAAGTCTATATTGCATAAGCAACCTGTTCTATCTAACTAATGCAAACTATGTTTCTATCTTTTTTCTCAAATTGTTTAGTGCCTATGTGTGACTTTGTATTATTATTATTATTATTATTATTATATACATATATTTTATATCCGTTGATAATAGCATACTTTAGTTATTGTCTCAACTTGAACATTTCTCTTAGATGTTATTACGTTGGATTATTATTATGCAACAGTTCAATTTTTCAATAAACTCAAATTGAATTAGACCAATAAGCAAATCGCGCGACATTTCTAATTTGCTTATGTATGTGTTCCTCGAGTTATCGTTATCATCTTGTCGCTTGAAGTGACATAAGAAACATTAGAGAGACAATCGAATTCTCTGCAAGCACAGATGTAGTACTTACCGATTTGGGCAAACACCCTGAAGGCTGCGACCACTCGCTTTCCGTATCTCTTTCTTTTTTATATTTTTTTTTTTTTATCTTAACCATGTTACCCGCATAGGCTGCATGCCCTGAGTGAATGGTACTGCAGTGGAGTGCAAACGAGTTTCCGCCGTTTTGTATCAAAAACTAGGAATTTATTGTTAAAGTACAGCACAGTGTTAAAGTGCGCTTTATTCAAAGTATTGTCCGCCACTAGCCACTACTTTTTGCCGACTTTCTGACAGCATTCGGATTTTATATCGAAAGAACTCTTCATCTTTTGAGGATATTTATCAACCGGCCCAATTTTTAATATCTTCTTACGACGTAAAGCGCTGCTCAGGCAGATTATGTGCCATCGAACGGATAAGTGATAAGCGGAAGATCGATATCTGGTAAAAATGGTAGGCCATTTTAATGTTTCCAGGTATGTTTTGGCCGATGCCGCACCATGCGGACAAGCATTATAATGTGGAAGAATTTCCCTAACTGAGTTCGATAGAGAGCTTCAGTAAGGGTTTCGTCGGCTTTGAGCAACTCATATCGCACCAAACCAATCTGATCCCACCAAATGCACAGCAGGAGTCTTTTTCCATGAATATTCGG